ACCTTTTGCAACCCCACAGCAAATATTAAACCTCGTAGCCCAGTCCATAGGAATCTGTTTATCCTTTGGACCTAAAACATTACAAAACCAAATGCATTTTGTTTAGTGCTGAGAAGCTTTCAATTAGCCCATTGGTAGAGACAAAAGAAATCACTCACTGAATAACGCTTGAGCTAAACTGTTGTTCTCCATGCATTCATACACAAGCAACATCTGAGCCCGCTCGACGCAGAAGCCATGAAGCTTGACAAGATTAGGATGTTGAAGACAGGATATTGCACCTATCTCGTTTAGAAACTCTCTGTTCCCTTGTCTTGATTTAGATGAGAGCTGCTTAACTGCTACAACTCTTCCATCTGATAACACACCCTGCACAATGAGACTCTACTTTTAGCATGCATGCACTACACCACAACTTACAATTAAAAAGAATCATATCTTTTACCTTGAATACAGGACCAAAACCACCTTCTCCAATCTTGTTAGCTGGACTGAAGTCATTAGTAGCAGCTTTGATTTGCCGTAACGTAAAAGTTCCAGAAGGCAACTCTTCTTCATTAGGATCTGTGGAGAAAAAACTCTTACTCAATAAACAAAGAAACACTTTAACATAACTTGGTGGGTAATATGCAAGTTAGCTAATTAATTTTCATAAGAAGCAGTTCTAGTATATATCATCAAAAGTCCATATTAAATGCAAAAGAGAATGATTATAAAGGCAATGATGACCTCTTCGTCTCCCAAAACATGGAAGACAACCACAAAACCAAAGAACTCCTAGTAGAAAGATAATAAGACATGGGACTCCAATTCCAAGTGCAATATACGCTCCAGTGCTCATTCCACTTCCCGGGTCTGTGCATGGCTTAGAATCTGTACATTGAAGGTGTTACTATTAAGAGAAACTAATGTAGTGATCATTTCTGGTAGCTAGTACTATAATAAGAAAGCTACCTGAAAATATGGAAATGGCCGATATGATAGGACCATAAACCCCTCTTTCAGGAATCCTGGTGGTTCCTTTACCGGCCCAACCCAACCGGATAGCTAAGAAGTGGTTAGTCACATTAACAGTAAATGATTTTGTTATAGGTTTTTGAGCTTCCTTTGCTTCAGCCATGATGTTGAAGTCTTTTAAAACAAGTTTCTCCTGCCAAAACATAAGCATAGGAACATGGCCGGATCTGAGATTTACGAAACCCATAAGACAATTTTAATAAAAGAAAATTTGATAATTTGGGGACATGTGTTCTATGTATATAATAATAGCTTTTAAGAAATTTTGGGAATTAAAGCGGATGTTTCATTTGGTTGCGCTGAGAACAGGAGAACCGGCTTTGTGTAAGTAAGACTAACTTAGTGAATTCAATTTCAACAGCTGAGGGCAAAAACTAACCTGGACGTAAATGTCGAAGATACGCCTTCCAAGCCGGCTGTAAGTATCATCATTGGTGAATCTCATCTCAGCAAAGTCTAGGTTAACAGTGTATTTTCCATTTTCCAAGCAGGCATGGAAGTAAGTGAGAGACACTGGGGCTATTCGTGCGGTTTTGTAGAGTTCAGACAGTTTAGATGTGGGGACATACATAGTGAATCTTGTGTTTTGGAAATTGTTGTCGTCCATGTAGTCCCCTGTGCTGCTGAATCCCCAATTAGCCTCAGGCTTCAGATAGTACGTAGCAGCACCACCTTCAACTTCTCCATCTCCTTCATATATGATTTTGCTTTTGTTTGTGTTTACTGTTATGTCGCTTCCACCACAGTTTATATTGAGGCAGCTATAATCTACATCAACATGTTTTGTTATGTAATGATAATAACACAAGAAATAACAAAAATATCTACATAAGGGTGATTTCAGATGAGAAACTATTGTGAAACGAGCTATATCATCACTAGTCTTTTTAAGTAGGCAAGTAGTGTACTTACATTTAGGACATACAAAATCTTTGATGCATGGCAGAAACTTGCTCCTAAGTACAAAAACATCAATTGTGGAATGTCTTTATTTTGGAATGTACAAAACCTTTTTAACTGCATGTAGATGCTAAAGGAGATCAAAAGAAAGGACCTTACGATTTTTTTGTGGATGTGCTCTGAAACAAATTTAGATTCAGATTCCTAAACACAAGAAAATCAGTTAAAATGGCAAAGATCTCTAAGAAGAAGAAAACAATGACAGTATCTTCCTCACATGTGTGGTCGACAAGAACTACTCTCAGGACTCTGCCACTTGAGGTTATTATACGAAAGATCTCTGCAGCAACAAAGCGAATTGGCATCAAAATAGATTCATATTCTTTCTTAGAAAGCTATTTGCAAACTCAAGAGATATACATACGCAGTGATTCCATCCCTTAGTAATTCCTCTGGAGCCTCTCCCTCGAGCTTATTTCCAGTTAATATTCTGAAAACAAAACAAAACTAAATCATTCTAACTCAAAGTTAGGTAGAACATTGAAACATATGTGTCGGTGGAATCTTTTCACTTACATAAACCGTAGATCTTCTGCATGCGCAAACCCAGGAATTGTCCCAACTAACTTGTTAAAACTCAAATCCCTATCAACAAAACGCAACATGAACTCTATTCACTGTTTACATGTAAAAACCTAACTGAGACTTGATAAAAAAAAAATGTGGGAAGGCATGCGTGGTTACAGTGTCTCCAGATTCTTCAAGGAGGAAAGATAGGTAGGTATTTTTCCAGCAATGTTACAGTTCTTCAAGATCCTACAATGCAACACAAACAAAACCTAAGAGATGCATGGAACGTAACAGCTTCGAGAAGGAATATAAACTTACAGCTTAGAGAACTCTGTTGAGTTCTTTAAAGCAGGGAATGGTTGGACTGGTCCACCTATATCTGTGATCCTCCTGAAAACAATTAGGCCACATTGTAAGAAAAGCTTCGTTTTCATTAAAAGAAACATCATAAGAGTTTGTGTTTACTAACAGATTTTTCATTTTGCTAAAAGTTGAGATGACTGATGGGATTGGACCGGTGAGACCAGAGGCAATCATTTCACTACAGGAAATTAAAAAAGATCATAACATCATTGTGTGCAAAAGGAAACAGTAAAGAAGAAGGATCTTACAGTCTCTTGAGTCCCGTCCAGTTTTTTATGTAACTAGGTATCCTTCCAGTGAGTTGGAGATCGTTAATCCTACTGCATTGTGAGAAAACACAAACAGCAGATGAACAAAGGAGGATACCAACATTAATAAGTAGTAAGTATAGGAGAAAACAGAAGAAAAGTTTTACAAATCTTCCATCTTCTCTAGTTTAGCTAATGAATCTGGCAAACTTCCAGTCAACTGGTTTGAGGAAAGCAACCTGTGAAACCCCAAGAATGATCTCATCTTTCACACAAATAAACATCGTCCATCGTAATAAAAGAAGCAAAGAAACTCTTACAGTTTTTCCAAGTTGGCTAAGTTGCCTAGCTCCTCAGGAATGGTTCCAGTAAACGCATTTGACTCGAGATCTCTGAACAAGAACAAACAAAACTAATGTAACCAAAACAATGTTCCACTGACCACAATATTCGAAACTTACAAGGAAGTTAATGAAGTCATGTCTCCGAGCTCCTTTGGAATTGGCCCTGACAACCGATTTACAAGAACAGAGCTGCAGAGACATTCTGTAACTGTTACAAGAGCATTTTAGACACATAAAAGCTAAATCATTAAGAGGGAAATATCCTTACATAGTTGTTAAATTTGTGGTAGTCCATTCAAGTGGTATTGTCCCATTGAGGTAGTTGTATGCGAAGTCTCTAATAATATATAGCAAGAACCAGTGGTCAGCTTACTGAGAATCGGTAAAATAAGGTTCAAGGTACTTTTATGAGAACACTTACATTTCCTGGAGGTAGGGAAGCTCTGTTATTTCCGGAGGAAGAGTTCCTGGAAGATTATGATCCTTGAATGCACTAAAATAACAAGTCAAATATCCCTTTTAAGATATAATTAACCAAGTAGGAAATATATACATACATCATTAGGTTTTCATGTATTCACAGTTTCAAGATTAAACCATTCTTCTTTTTATTTAATATTTAGTCAAATCAAGACATGGTGACATACCTTATTCAAACATTATGCATATGTACAGACCCAACAAAGAAAGAAAGTTATGAAGAGTGACTTGAGTATTCTTACATTTTGATAATATGACAATCAGTTTCGTCAGTGGGACTACATTCACATTCTATTTCTTGCTTAGCACTCGAGGGAGGAGTCTCTGTTAGCCCCACTTGTTCGATTTTACAATTTTCGGCATCAAATTTCCAGAACTTAGACCCCAGTGTCTTGGCGATTTGCTCCAGAGCATCGACTAAGGGACAAGGGGCACAAAAGCAAAACAGCATAATATTACATGAGTGCAATTACTTAAGCAAAAAGCAAAAACAAAGAGTATGCTTTGGCCTTAACAAACAGTAGAATATTCATGAAAGCTAGATAAACAGTATTATGTAAACACTTTATTAACCACACCAAAAACATATATGATCTTGTCAATAGTCTACAGGAAATTAGCAAATAAAAATGGCATAAGCATAGTAAAATATATATATATGCAAACGCAGAAGCCAAAAAGGAAAGCAAAAACGATACAAAGATAAAAAGAAATAAAGTTAAAACCAACCTTCACTCTTCGGTAACTTGACAGCATTTACACCGTAAAATTTGAAGCAAAAGATGGCAAAAACAGAAAATGCAATTATATTAACACCCTTCTTCTTTTTCTTATCGGCAAACATTTCATGCAGAAGCGATGCAAGTCAAAATTTCTTTCGAAATGCAGACGAGAGACTATGTAAAATCAGAGTCTCATCAAAAACAATAAAGATCGTGTGGAAGATCTGAAATGTTCGGGTTGGTTTGGGTAAGTGTGATGATGATTAGTGTTTTTTTGTCGTGATTATGTGAAAATTACATACGAAAAAGTGTTTTTCCTCCTTTCGTTATTTTTTCTGGTTTTTATCTTTTTCAAATTTTTATTCTTACAACTGTAAATTATTGTCAGATTTGGAATTACAGAGAAGAAAGGAGAAAAAGAATGGTAAAATCCCCACAAAGCGAAAAAGCAGTGACCCTATAAAAGTTGAATGGTCTTTGTGTGTGATATTGAAGAGATGGCCAGAATAGTCGCGAAAATAACAAAATCTAAAAATAGGAAAAAAAAAAACACCATTTTTATGTTCTTAATGGAAGTAGACCAATTAAAATTCATTAAGTGTGACTGTGAGTAATGGCTTAAAATTTAATCGGTGTTGTCATTGGCCAATATAAAATAGTTCAGCTACGATATAACTGACAATCATTATCCGTGTATGAATTAGCGGATTATCATGTTAGAAGCTAGGAGGCCATGTTCAATATGCATTTCGGTCCGGTTTCAATTCAGTTTTTTTTTTCGATTTTTTTAGTATTTTGGTTTATAAAAATTAGTTACCATATTAGAATCATATCTAATTTGGTTTGGTTCGGTTTTTATACTATCAATATTTATTATTTGGTTTTATACCAAAAACTTTAATATTTGATTTTAACATTTATTAAAAAAATAGCTGATGTATATATAAATAATGGAATATCAAAGAATAACAGAAAAAATGATCAATATGATCAATGACTCATTTTCTTACAACTCTTCTTGTCTTCCAAGTTTCTTTCAAAGAAATTTCATGTTACCATATAATATTACAATTTCTAAATCAAGAAATCAAATCAAGGGAAATTTATCAAATATGACTTAAAACTTGGTTTCAAATGCAAAAGTAAACTCAAATTTGAATCAAATGCAAAAGAAACTTAAAAGACTATTGAAATTACAATCAGTCCCTTATGAACAAACAAAATACCCGAATTTTTTTTACGTTTCTAACCCCCCGCAACTATTCTGTTCAGACGACTTTCATGGACGACTTAGTTGAAAGTCGTCTATTATAGTTATTCTTAAAAATAAGTTAATTTTTTTAAAAAAATATTTTCATAAGTGAAAAATTGAAATCATGTAATTAACATATGTTTTAAAAGATATAAATTAAGATATAACAAAATTTAATTGTTTTCAACATAGATGAGTGAAAGTAGTGAGTCATGATATTCTTTGGTTTAGGTTTTGCCAACATATGTTCTTGTAGTATTGTATGTGTTTCTTAGGGTTAGATTTTTGAAAGCATAAATGTTTTTTTGAAATTTTTTAAATTTACCGAAGTGTGTTTATTTATGTGTATAGTAAACACTTTTAAGTATAATTTGATTTTATAACGTGGTTAGTTAGTTAATTTAGTCAATTTAGTTTAGGGTTTAGGGTCTGGACGACTTAGTATTAAGTCGTCTGATAAATATATTTAAGGCAGATGACTTACTAGTAAGTCGTCTGATGTATAGTATTCAACAGACGACTTACTAATAAGTCTCCAAACCGGACCGAACCTTTGATTTTACCAATTTATTTTTAAACCTAACCGGATTTTTTAGCGGACATATATATCATGTTTTTTTTACTCATTTTTTCACGAAATTCAGAAAATCCTAACGACGTTTCTCTCAAAGGTGATTTCAAAGGCGATTTCTGTCGAATCTCTCTAATCCATCGTTCTCATCGCCGGTTATCTCTCCGCCGTTATCACCACCATTCTCACCGCTGCTTCCTCTATTTCAGATCTGAGAGGAAACCCTAGCGCCGTTCTCTGTAAACCCTAGTGTCGTTTCTCTTCGAGGCATTTCGTTCAACTCTGCCACCGGTAAGTTATATCTCTTACTGTCGAGTGATTGATTGAGGAAAATAAGAACATAAAACATCATTCTCACTGTCGTTCTCATCGTGCTTCTTTTTCACGTCTATTTTTCATATCTATAACTACTGTGTCGAAGGCGGAATCTTCTCCGAATTTTCAGGCCGGCTTTACAATGTTCTACTGGAAGTCTTGGAAGACTTATAATTAAGTTGTCTGGAAAGTTTTCGAGGTGGAAGACTTTCCAGACGACTTAAATATAAGTCTTCCAGATAATTAAAATGTTATTCTGGATGGTTGTGTGTTTGAGATGGTTGTCTTTGATTGTTTTTCAGGAAAAAAATTGATATTCAAGAACTCCCGTAGGATACATACAGTAGGGCAAGAGCCCCCCGCATTGAATAGCATTTCCTATCATCCGTGTACGAAGTTTTATATTGCTTTAAGGAATGCTCTTCATGATGAAGAATATGAAGAGCTGAATGAGTCTAAGGTGGGAGTTTTCATCAAGTTCCAAGAGCTGGAATTTGATTGGCCTTCAAGGCTGGTTCACTACATGCTCGGTTTCCAGCTCGACATAAATAACAAGTATGAGCTGTGGAGTCTCGTTGGTCCACAACCTTTGAGGTTTTCACTGTTAGAGTTTGAATACATCACTGGTCTAAACTGCGAGTATATCGAGGACCTTGAGAGACAAAACTGTGTTGTTACAAAGGAGTTGGCTTCTTTCTGGGAGTTGTTGGGAGTTCATGTCGAAGCTGGGACAGCTACTCAACAGATAATAGCAGCATTTGAGAGATGCGAAGGGTGGTCTCAGGATGATCGCAAGCGGCTCGGGTACCTTTCCATCTTCACTTGATTCATTGAAGGGAGAAAGTTTTCAACCTCAACACCGGTTAGTCTGGCAAGGCTAATGATGGAGTTAGAACGGTTTGAGAATTATCCATGGGGGAGAGTTGCGTGTAAGGTGCTGATAGACTCTATGAAGGGCAATGACATTTCGAGTTGTTACACTGTTGATGGTTTATACAAGCTCTCCAGGTCTGAGTGTACACAGCTCTGACGAAATTGGGTGCTAATTATGGCAATCCCATACCAAACAGACCGTCTCCACCGATATTGGCTTACAAGGGTGGCAATGGACACAAATGCTTTAAAGAAGCTATTGACAGACATGTATTTACTTCAATCCAAAAGATTTTTTGAAAACTTATGATTAAGTCGTCTCGGAAGCCTTCCAACTGGACGACTTAATAGAAGACTTATAATTAAGTCGTCCGGGAAGTCTTCCAGCTGGATGACTTAGTAGAAGACTTATAATTAAGTCGCCTGGGAAGACTATCCAGACGACTTCATAAGTCGTCTAGCTGGAAGACTTTCCAGAAGACTTAATCATAAGTTTCTGCGAAGTCTTTTCTTTGTATCTTTTTTAATCCGTCAAATATCTAAATTTATCTTCTATTCACTGCAGACTAGGGTGATGAACTTTGTTAAGAAGGACATTGGTGAAATGTTTCCAAAATGGGACTCTGATGCTAAGGACCCGGCCGCATAGAACATAATTAAACTTATGTATAATCAGAGACCGTGGAAGTGGACCATGGACTGCTGGAATGTCACCGATGCTTGGGTCAATACAAATCCGGCAGCGAAGAAAGCGAAAAAACCGATAGTTCTGGTGAAGAAAGACGAAGACAGTCCAAGACCTCTTAAGTAAGCTCGTAAAGAGCCTAGTGAAGAGCCACCTGAAAAGGCAGAGGAAGATGCACATGAAGAGGTTCCTACAGAGGCTCGTTGATATCACTCAAATTACCCTAAGGAGTGAATTACTCTCTCAAATAAGAGGTTCAGTTGTACTACTTAGGGATCGAATCCACAAGGAACTAAGGAACACAAAGATATAATCCTAAGTGATTATGCTAGGTTGATTAAGGTTTAAAAGTAAATTACAGTTGTGAGCAATGGAGAGTTGCTCAAGAGAATTGGTTTTAGGTTTTAAACAATAAAAGAAAGTAGTTAGATTCAAGGTTGCTATTCAGATAATCATGATTATAATGCTACATATTTTATAAGTTGCTTGCAAGATATTAAAGAACTTCAATTCTTAGATACGTCTATTAGCAATCGCTATTAGACTCATCCATTGACCTGACTGCCGGCAATATCGACCGATGGTTTAACAGCGATATCGGACGATATGGGTTACCATCGATCGATTACTCTATAGGACTATCAATCGATATAGCTTCAGATCGAATTGAATATGTGTCACCAAGATCATAGACCGGCTCTTGTTCGTCCCTAGAGGATCTCAGCTTATACCAGATGATTTCAGGATGATGATTAACAAGTTAAATCATTCCATGATCATACTTTAGTTAGCTACTCTAGAGTAAGCATTAGGGTTCATCAGGATAATGAATATCACAACTCAACATTCCATAGTTGGGGCTAATCCCTCATAACTAGTTGAACCCTAAATCTAACAAGTGAATTTACTCAGACATGACTAAGTAATTCATAGCATCAAGGTAATAATAGAAATTCATAAGATTAAAAGATTGAACTCTTGGTTCTTTTGAACAAAAAATCTCTTTGTATGTTCTTCTAAATCTAGAATTCTATAACCTTTTATGAAAATGAGAATAAGATGAAAAGAATACTTTTATAAATCAAAGAACTAAGACATGAAAAGCATTCAAAAGCAGAACATGTAGAAAGCATGCAAATCTTAAGAAGTACAAAAAAGCATGTCTAGCCAAAACACATAGGCATAACTATCAATATGAGTTCCATTAGGTTAAAAACTCGCCAGGGGAAATCAAGTAATATTGAGAGAACTTGGGCTTCAAGGCCGAGTCAAACTTGTTCTTCACGCTTCATATCGATCGATGGTACAAGGCGTACATCGATCGATGGTACAAGGCGTACATCGATCGATGGAGTATCTCTATTCGTCATCTTTTACAGAAGCGTCGTCGATCGATTACACAAGAAGTGTATTGATCGATATGTAT